GCCTGGCTCGTAAACATGTTTATTTTGTTTGTCAGACATCCTTTGATATTTGACAGGTATAGTTAATTATATATAACTGTTATATATCATGTCACGATATATATAGCATCAAATACTTTAGTGGCAAAGCTTTGTATTATAATTCGAGTACAAGTTATACAACTGCCGGCATTACACATCGTCAGTGATCATTGATATTTTTGCATGGCGATATTGAGACAATTTAATGAATATGTCTACCAAATTTATAGTAATATACTTGCTAAGAGTATTTATAAGCAATCATGTCCGCAAGGTCAAATCAATGTAATAGTAAAGAACAAGACGCCCGCTAGGCGTTAACCTCGGGTCGGTGCATAGGGCATCGTCTGGTAAATATGCAAAAATCGTGTAAATCACGATAGTTTAATAGTTCACTAGTATAAATGGTGATTCAGTCAATCAAAGCTCCGTTTTAACATTTTATTGATAATAGTTAAATACAGGAATAATTTAGAGAATTTACTGGCGCAATTATTTAATTAACTGTCTTTATTCATTATTTGGGATATTTTGTGGACGAGTGAATGATATACATAGCTACTGTACTTCACTAATTCATCTTGTATTTAGTGACACTAACAGACTATGATCAGTCTGTTTGTTGATTGCACATAGCAGAACGGCAGTCACTTCAAATATTTTTAAAATATATCAAAGTACCGAAAATATAATTAGGTGCATATAACTGATCCATCATCAGTAATAGTTGTACCACAGTCGAAGAATGTAATGAGTGGACAGTTGGCAAAATTGTTGTCTACCATGGCCAGTTACAGTAAGAACCATCCATAAAATGCTTAGCAGTATCAAACAAGTGAAAGTTGGCCGCGGTATTCCCATTCTATGCATACAAAGTATTGTACATTATATCAACATATACTCGAGAATAGTTATCCAGCTAAACATGTATGTCAAAATTATCACATCTTCTCGTTTTAAATCAGCAATTTTGACGGATTTTGTGCAAGGACAGTTTTGGGTTCCGTTTCGCTTTGGCCAATGCTTGAAATTTCCCGGAAGTACACTTATTTACTGGACTTGTCGTCTCCTCCGCAGGCTCTTCGACTACGTGCGCGGCTCGACACAAAATGGAAAAAAAATAGTAGCCGAATTTATGATCTCGGTGTCGTACCGACCCGAGGTAAATAATCTAAAAAAAAAACATGTATTTTTTAATCACAAAATTAATAAAAAGGTCATGTCAGAACGGAAGGAAATGCTATGTTCCAGCCTCAAAAGATTTCATTGTTGTGTGTTAACGTAATGTGCATCAAATTTTGTACTTGAGTAAATTTTCAAAGCGATGATAACATCCCTATAAAGGCCCTGTTGCACGGTGCAATTTTTCATGCAACTTGTCTCCCAATGGCGTAGCGAGACAAGTTCCACGAGTCATTGCACCGTTTTACATGCCTTGTAATGGTCAAATTAGGTCGTTGCAAGACAAGTTGCATGAAGCATTGCGCAGAGTAGAAGTCGGTTCTACATTTGGCAACGATTGCACTAATTACTTTTAGCATTGCAGCGTGTAACATGGCTTCGTGCAACTTTTCTCGCAATGTTTATAGCTTGGAGAGTTCCTATTGGCTCACTCCAGTACACGCTTTACTTTAATTAAAATTTGACGCTAAATAGCGCCTCTCCCTAGTCTCTTCGCATTCCTCTGTCCCCTATCGTTGCGAGTTGTATGAAAATCATTGCAGTATGTAACACCTCTTGCAATGCATTATCAAAATCTTGTTTTAAACATTGCGGGACAAGTTGCATGAAAATTTGCACCGTGTAACAGGGCCTTAACGTCGACCCTAAACTGTGAAAATATGTATAGGTAATAGGATGGTTTCAAGTGCAAGGGCGAATTAGTACCATCAGTAGGACCGGATCATAGCGCATATAGACCGCCATTGTGACGTCATCGAAGAAAGTTTTCTTGAACGCAATTGACTATGCAATAAGCTTGGTCGTGTGCTTTTATCTACGACTATGTCCACAACCTGGCGGAGGTGAGACCCTGACAGTGAAACATGTTGGTTTAAACTGTAATGTTTTGTTTCATTTGAAAATATTGTAAATTTGATTTGAAAAGGTTTTACAAATTCTCAACTGAATTATCTAGCTGTAATTTTATACCAAATTTCAAGCTCACAATTGTAAAGAAGCAGGGGCCCACCGGGATTAATCCGCCCCTGTTGGAGTGCTATTTTAATCAAATATGCACATACATGCATGAGTGAGTTTTTCAAAGAGCATGAATATAGCACGAGTCCGAAGGACGGACTCTATTTGAGATCTTAGGAGTTTTATCCAAATTTCACGAGAAACCATTCTATTACGTATAATGTCTCAATCAATTTAAACACAACTAGTGACGGCTAGCAAGGAACTTCGGTACATCTTTTTACCTATTCTTTACATTTTCACTTTTCGTTTTTTCTCCTCGGTCGGTTGGGTTATATATGCATACATATTGGGGTTAGGTCTTGATATGCTGTATGATCATGAAAGTATTATATTTTCATTGTGTCTTATAGTAGATAAGACCTCACCACCAGCAAACATTTCCCGCCAAATGACGTCAGCACGTATTTCCCGCCATAGTTCTTACTGTTCTTTGCGTAGGGGCTCGCGCTACCTTGGAATGATTTTCACCTGACGTCAGCACTTATTTTCAGTCACATGACGTCATAATTGTTGGTGTATGAGGTCGTGCTACCTATCTGGAATAATACAGAGATGACGTCTGCGAAGACATAGGTATACTTTGTTTAAATGCAATTTTAGGAAGTAAATATTTGATATTTCATTGTGTACATGACGAGATAACGTTAGGTGTTGAGATTGTAACAACTTTTTTTGTTTGAATTATGTATGGGGAGTGTGTGATATGTCAGAACGTATTTTGGAACCTAGAAAGACATCGTATTTTGGAACCTGGAAAGACATCGTATTTTGGAACCTAGAAAGACATCGTATTTTGGAACCTAGAGTGCACACAGGAGGGAGGCCTTTTGAGTGTAATATTTGTGGTAGAAGATTTGCAAATCCGAGTAATCGTAACAAACACCGTAGAATATATACAGGAGAGAAACCTTACGGATATGATGTTTGTGGAAAAAGGTTCACGGATGGAAGTGATTATGTTGTTCATTATAGAATACATACTGGAGAAAGCCTTACGAGCTAGTATGATATCTGTGGAAAGGATTTTCACACTTGGGTAGCCTAACCATTCACCGACGAATACACACTAGGGAACGTCCTTATAAATATGATGTTTGTGGGGAAAGGGGTTTACACATCAAGTACCCTAACAAAACATCGAAGAATCAGGCCTACTTTGGGGGCCAAGGTCGCCGTTATAATGTGCAACATTGTGCGACATTAGGCGACATTGGCAATTTTCAAAGAAAAGTAGTGTGCGTCGCTGGGCGACATTGAGCGACATTGAGCGACATTGGGCGACATTAGGCGACATTGGACAAAACTGAACAGTAATATCCAGATAACGTCAAATATTATAATTCACAAATTATGCATCCACATAGAAAATACAACTGACAGTAAATATCAAAATATAATTTAGTTATCAAAAATTGGTTCCTGTGGCAAAGAACACAATTAGTTTATTACAAATAGCAAAAATAACAAGGAACATTTCTCTAAAGCATGAGTCAATTCCAGGAGTAACCATCCCCCACCCCCCCGGGAACACACCCGGGCATTTGATTTGATTGGTTATGATCGGGACACAACTTGAAGACTAATGCACGGCCCCTGGGCAAGCTGAGAGTGGAAAATGCCCCACCCCGGGGACGATTTTACAGTCGATTTCACGAAACTTTGACCACAAATGTTCCGAACTTCGTTGCGAAGTTTGGAAGCTCATATTGGAATTCACAAGCCAATTTGTAAACAAAGTCCCTGATTGGTCCGTGAAGTAAAAGAAGCCAATCAAATGCGCAGTTTACGAACTGGTTTGTGAATCTCATTATGAACTTTTTAACTTCGCAACAATCTTGTGAACTTCGCAACGAAGTTCGGAATATTTGTGGTCAAAGTTTCGTGAAATCGACTGTAAACGTTAATTAAACTTTTAATGGCATATAATTATAGTAATTTAATAACATTATAGTATTAAACTGCTATGGAATATTATAAAACATAAACCTTTAATAGTTGTATTTAAATTTGCATGGCACAGGGTATAATTTTCGCTTATTCTTACAATAAATTTCACGCCACCTTGACCACGAGGGCGCAAAATACGATCAGCGCGCCCACATGCTTGCCTGAAACTATGTTTTGCTGCCTTAAAATTTGTGGGTGGGATTCTGGGCAACCATTTGTCAAATCCCCGGGGTCCTCCATTAATACCCGGCCCCCGTGCACATATATGAAAGGCAAATTCCCGACACCCGTAAACTGTCTATCGGGCAAATTCCCGGGGGGAGGGGGAAGGTTACTCCAGGAATTGACTCATGCATAACTGCTAGCCTGACAATCTACTCAAAGTTTATACCGTAGTACACATACATGCCCAGTGCATGGTACATTTACAGTATCATGGAACTCTTATTAAATTAAATTGACTGGTGTAAACACCTCATAGAGTTTTAAAACCTGTTTATGGACTGTGGTATGCAGTGATGGAAGTGAAAGAATTGGCATTTAAGGTAAATAAATTGTCAGCTAGCTAGCTAGCTATCATAAACGTGTACAATGTAAATCATGTACCACCATAACCATGCTTGAAATCTAACCAACCAAACTGGCAAACAAATATCTCAAATAGTGATAACTATAAATCTTATAGTTTCAATAAAAAATGGAACTTACTTTCAAAGCAAACAGATAGAAAAAAGTTTAATCCATATACATTTGTATAACTATACTGACTTATGATATTTGAGGTGTTACTCTGAGTCTATATCCACACCGGGCGAGCTTGAAAAATATGCCCGGCCACGGTGGGATTCGAACCTACGACCTTTGGAATAGTTGGAAGAGCATTGGGCTAGTATTCCAAAGGTCGTAGGTTCGAATCCCACCGTGGCCGGGCATATTTTTCAAGCTCGCCCGGTGTGGATATAGACTCAGAGTAACACCTCAAATATCATATTCACCTGAGTACACTACACCAACACAGAAAAAAAATTTATACTGACTTACTTTACTAAAATTAGATGACAGTTCCTTTACTTTAACTGAACTAATAAATAATTAAATTCCTTTTATCCAAAACCTCAGAGACCTGTTCAGTTGTTCGGCTGGAATTTGAGCCCGCAATACCACGGCACGTCTAATTTAATGGTTTAGCTTCTAACTTGTACTACTTCGTGTAAGAAAGCATAATAATTGTTATGGCGGGCCTTGGCGACATTTTATATAAACAACCTGTACCGTAGATCTTTCTGTGGTGCGTTCATTGCTCTGTATCTTTTGCGATGATACCTAATTATGAGATGTCGATCATCGTAGCTTCGTC